ATACATACATACATACATACATACATACAAACAAATACACTCGCACACACGCGCGCGCTTTCCCTTCCCCTTTGCCTTTTCTCACGCCCCACCAGCCTGGGAACATGTTCGCGGCAAGCTGGTGAATCCACCCAGTGCACTGTTAGCCTCCGCGGGCACGGGTCGAGATGATAACATCGTGGACGACGCCGATAAGAGCATCAACGCGAGCAGCGGTGCACACCAGCACCAGCACCAGCACCAGCATCACTCGTCTCATCATCGCACAGGCTCCAGGCACCAAAGCACATCTCCTTCCAAGCGAAGGCATACCGACACAGACCCCTCCCCTGCGCTCAATGCAGATTCCACGGGTGCTAACGACGCGCCACAACCACCACACAAGCGCTCACACAGCACTATACACACCTAAACAGATGCGTTGTCGTGCATACTTGCGGGTGTGCGTGTATTGTAACAACATGAAGACGGAATGAGCAAAACCGCATTAAATGTTTCTACCCAACAGCTCAGGGTCTGTCCCAAAGGCTGCACAGGAGATGGCGGGCGGGGAACAGACAAAAATCTATGACGCAAGGAGCCACATGTAACATAACGTCGTAACCAAACCATGGTGGGGGTAACGCGGCGTCCATGAAGAGTCATGGGATGATAGTGATCAAAAGCAACAAAGGGGGGGGGGTGCAAACAACACAGAGGCAGAACCGAACAAGCTCTACTCTGGGACAGCGGGCTGGCTGCCTTGATTGCTGCCTGGGTGTGAAGGCTAACTTGATGGCTCTTCGTGCAACTGCGCAATGACATTGTGTCAAGCGTGGACTCCGAGGAACCGCATGAGAAGCCGCTGTTGCTGTACAATGTCATCCACTCGCGCCTGATGCTGGAGAGATGTGAGAAGGAAGCGCAGCAGCAATTGCTGGCGCGACACATCTTCCTGGCGCCGGCTGCTTGACGAAACGGGCGGTTCGTCGCCGGTGTGCTGCTGCTGCTGCTGCTGCCACTGGCGCACAATGCCAAGGTTCTTTGCGACGAGCGCGGCGTGAGGATGGCTCGCGCCCACAGTGACTGTGAACACTCGCAGCGCTGTCTCCAGGTGGCTCACTGCCTGGCCAAAGTCGCCCTTGCTGGCATAAGAGTTGCCCAGGTTGCCGTGGGTGATGGCGGTGCTTGGATGCTCAGCGCCATAGGTGTCCTGCTTGACTCGCAGCGCCTTGAGATAATACTCGATTGCCTGGTCCGTGTCCCCTTTGCCCTCTAACGCGCTGCCGAGGTTGTTGTAAGTGATGGCCGTCTCGGGGTGCGCAGCGCCCAGGAGCTTCGTCTTGATCTTGAGCGCACGCACGAAGCAAGCAATGGCGGCATCATAGTTTTGCATGCTCTGGTGGCAGCTTCCCATGTTGTCGATGGTGGCGGCCGTTTCGGGGTGCTCTTCGCCGAGAGCGCTCATCCTAATGTCCAGCGCTCTGCGATACCACGTCATGGCCGTGTCAACGTCGTTCATGGTCTTGTAGACGCTGCCGAGGTTGTTGCATGCCGCGCCCACCCTTGCGTGTGTCGGCCCAAGCACCTTTGACCAGATCTTCGCGGCGCGCCGGAAGCACTGAGCCGCTTCGCCCAGCTCGTGCCTGCTCATGTGCGCGTTTCCCAGGTTGTTGAGGGTGATGCCGGTGTTCTCGTGATCTTCACCGACTGCCCGCAGCGTCAGCTCCAGGTCCCGCTTGTAGAACGCGATGGCCTTCTCGTGCGCACCGAACTTGGTCATGACGGTGCCAACTTGCCCGCAGAGCTGTGCCAGTGCCGATGGCTCAAGCGCCTCACTACTGGGGCGTTGCCCCTGCTTCTGTGCTGCCGTGTCCCTTGAGAACGCAGCCTCTGCTTCATCGACAAACGCGTGGACCGTTGCCAAGCACCACTGCCGCATCTGGTCCTTCACCACCTTGTTCAGCGCGGGGAAGCCGACGCTGGCACGGATGGCCCCGAAGATCATGTCTCTGTCCTCTGCTTTCCAGGCCTCTGCTTTCTCTGCTTGCACCTCGACCAACATGTTCACCACGGCTTCAAAGTCGTGCAAGACGGCCTGCTTCAAGGCAGGGGTTTGGGCACTGGGCAGCCTGATCTCCAGCTCCACCTCGGGCTGGCTGATGCTGCAGAAGATTTCCCACAGGCACCACGCGCGCGTCAGCGGCACGGGGTTGTTCCAAGGCGTCAGCACCAGCAGCACTTTGCCGATGGATGCGATCGACTCCTTGAACGTCGTGCTCCACCTGCAGCGTTGAGTTGTGGGGTGTTGGGGGGGGGGTGTCGAGGAGGGGTGTGAGATGGTGTGAGTGAATGGAGTAATTAAGGATGTGGTACAGTGACATGTGGCGTTGTATGCGGGGGCCGATCGCCAAATCCCATATGCATACGCACAGAGGGGAGTGTGTGTGTGTGTGTGCGTGTGTGTGTGTGTGTGTATGTGTGTGTGTGTGGTGGGGGGTTCCATTGTACTGGATCATGC